ATTGCCTAATTAGGAGGTATAGGGATGTTGGTGCTGCCCTAGCCTAAAGGACTTACATGTGCAATCTTTCCATAACCATGACCTTCTGTAACAGCTGCTTGTTACACATAGTGCCTGCGCTCCATGATTGGGTCTCCTTCTGGGAATTCCTACTTCAGTCATGTACTGCACTTGGACTTAACCACAGGGCTTCGCATTCAATTACTGGCTCTTTATTGGGTTACAGAGGCTAAAATCTTTTAGTTTTTGCCTCCAGCCGGACTTGAACCGTTGACCTTGATTGTGGGGGCATGGGAGCTTAACCACTAAGCTATGGGACCCACACCCCTATTAATATCTCTTATTATTATAATAACGATATAAATTAATTATAATAAAATAATATTATAAAAACTATATAATTATATTATAATTTTTTTAAAACTTAAAGTTTTAAAAAAACTTTAAAATTCTATATTTAATAATAAAAATTATTTTAAAATTAGTTAAATCATTTTAAATTAAATATCAAGATTTAATGTTTAGTTAAATTCAAGTAAAAATTTTATTATTTGTTTTTAAAATTTTTATTAATTATAATTTTTAATTAAAGATTTTTGGTCTGATAATTTATTATGATATTTGTCTTTAAGTTGTTATATATATTAAATATTAAATTTTATTGTTAATTCAATATATAAATTTATAAATATTGTGAAAAAATTTTATTTATTTTTTGATAGTAAAATTTTATGAATACAAAAATTTTAAATAATTCAAAAATTAAAAACTAAAATATAAAAAAACTTAAATTATAGTAATAATAATAAAATTATTAACTTTATTTTTCTTTAAATATATATTATCTTAATATACAGTTATTGATAAATTATATTTGAATTATTCTAATTTAGGTTTTTTATTTTAAAAGAAATGAGTAAATGTATTTTCTTAAAACAAATATAAAATAAAATAATTTAATAATTTCAAATTTAAAACTATTTTATTTAAGGGTAGGGTGTACATAGATCATTTTTCATATAACCTAGATGGTATAATGAATTTTTATATAGTAAATTAAAATATGTTACTAATAAAACTTTTTATTTTTTAATTAATTTTTATCAAAATTCAATAATATATAGATTTAAATAAGTTATTTATTATTTTAAAATTTTATAAGGTGTTTAATTTTAAAAAAATATATTTGTATATATCTTGAATTTTCTTTGAATGCTCTATAGTTTTCTCTGGTTACACAAAAGGGTCAACTTTAATTGGCTAATTTTTGAAAACCTATAAGAAAGTTTTAATAATAAATTTTAATATATAATCTTTAAAAATTTATTTTTCGATAAGTTTTAAACCAATTTTAATGATTTTACTACTGTTAGAATCACAAAAACCTACTTTACAACTTTACTTATAAGCTCAAAAAATATTTAATTAATAAAAATTTTGTAATTAAAATTACAAAAAAAATATACTATTAAGTTTATATATAAATTTAAAATATTACACCCTATCCTTAATGAATTTTTTTTAAAAATTTAATATATTTGTTAAAAAATTAAATGCTCAATTACATTAATATTCACAACTTTACAATTTTGCTAAAAACACAATTTAGTATATTATTATTTATCAACAACAAATAGAAAGTTTATTTAACAAATAAAACTTAAAAACTCATAAATATAATTAATAACATTCAACAGTTCAAGATGCATCTTTTAGTAACTGAAATAAAAAAAGATCAATTCAATTATAAACAACTAAAAGATATTCTAAATGAAAATAAAATTACTTACTAACAAAATTCTATTACTCTTTTACAATCAAATAAACAAAATAAGCAAGTTGCTAATGATCTTTTTAATTTTCCAAAATAATTTTTTATAATGTTTATTAATATAAATATAAATATTTATAACTTTCAATCCTAAAATTAAACTGGTTACTGTTTTAAATAAATGAACTCAAAAAACCTTAAATAGTTTACAACAAACCTTATTTTTATATAACATCAATATCAGAAATTTTTTTTTGTTACACACAGAGCATGCAATCCTATTCGACAAATAATAAAGAACACCCTGCGCACAATTTTTATTGGATAAATAACAACGGTATTATTGAAAGAATCTGTACTATCAATTTTTACTATTATACTTAATAAAGATTTGATTAATTAGTACGTATATCGCAAACCCCAGGGCGACATGTAGATAATTTATCTAATCCTCAATTCTAATAAAATTCATCATTAACAAGCATTAAAATTGTCTAAATTTTAATTTTTTGATACTTCTGATTTATACAAACAAATGTGTTTACAAATTTTTATTTGCAATATATTTTTACAAGTGTTTTTTGTTGCATATAATGTCATTCAAGATTTTTCTGTTTCGTAAGACCCGTGATAAAAAAAATATGTACAATTATAATGTGTCAACAATCCAACAATTTTAGAAAGAAAAAAAAACATACCGTTCCTCAATTATCGCTTGAATTTCTTTACAAGTATTCTCAGCTGCATTACTCTTCTCAATTTCTTCTTTTATTTTTGGAACATATTTTTCAGAGAATTCCTTTTCTTGTTTTTCTAACATATCTACGCCAAAAGATCAAAAGTTATTATTTTTTGAAAATTAAGGAAATAATAAAAATGGATAGCAACACACCTGATAAACTTTCGATTGAACTTTTCATGTCTTTAATTGTTTGCTCATATGTTACGTTTTTATTAAACATCGATTCTTCAATTACACCACTCATATTATTGATTAAACTATTTCGCGTAATTTCGAGAGCAGCACCTATAGAATTTTGAAACAGTATAAAGATATATATATATATTTATTTATAAGGTGGAAATAATAAATTACCTTCACGCTTTAAATCAGCCAAAATCCTAAGAACGCAATCAATGCTCTTCATATAAATTAATAAAGTTAGTTACATAATCTAGTATTTATTGCAGACGGAAATTCGAAACCTTCTTGTTCTTTTATGCATACCGAATACTTTGGACAACGTATCATTTCCTTTACTTCTCCTATAAATTTATCATTAAACACCCTGTAGATATCAAGGGAACTAATGGTTCGAAAATCACTACACATTATATTATTTAAAAGATTAATAATATAAAGTAAAAAAGAATAATGAAAAAAAATGAAAAAATTACTTGTTTAACTGGACTTGTACTGCCAACTTTAAATTTAAATCTTGAAACTGTTCGTTCTCTCGTAACATCGAGCAATCAAGATCCTTAGTTAAAGATTCAATACGCAATTTAAAAGGACTGAGCTCTTCTTGTATAAATCTTGATATCTGTCATATAACGATATTAGATGAGCTTCTATCATATATATGCTTTTCGGAAAATTATTATAAATTTACCTCTCGAGATTGTTCAAGCAAACCTTCTCCTGTTCGCTGATTGATGGAAATTAAGTTTTGAATATCTTCCTGTTTCTGTTCCTAAATTATAGTTTTTCATTTATAAAATATTTTTTGCAAAATATTTTAACAACCTTTTGAACAGAAATGAAATTCCACTTACTATAATTTGGTTCGAATTAGAGACGCTATCAGAAATTGCTGCCAATTCGTCACTTGATGACGCTAATCCTTGACATCGTCTTTCAAGCCCTTCAGCAAAACTAGAAATCATACTAAGTGCAGCTTGCGCAGCCTCATAATCGGCCCTTGCATTTATAACTGATCTGACGGCATGAAAGAAAAAAAATTGGGATTACGTTTACACAATTTGAAAAATAAAATGAACTTATAGAGTTACATTATTCGATTCGACATGGATGGAATATGCGAATATTTTTGTTCAACAAGAAGTTTTACTGACGCGTGTTTTTCTAATATTTTTTCGTTAATTTTTACAATATCATTTAATATTTTTTCAACCTCAAAGAACTTTGACGAATGATCTCTCATAAATGTCTTTCCGATTTAGATGAAAATTTATTAGAATAATAATTTGAAAACTTTAACATAAAAAAAAAAACAAATTAAATGCCTACGTATAACATCCGCTGAACCCGACTAGAATCTTCATCTGTAATAATTTTTTCACCGGCAAGCTGCTCAAATTTTGTGCTACAAAATTATAATCCTCAAATAAGCCTTCATAGTATATGTACTATGAATAAAGTAACACGCGTACATACTTTAAATCTTTAGATGCTGATCTCATTGTATTCAACATGGACTTGAGAAACACTTTTGGTGGTGTTGTCATTGATGAATCCTAAATGCAACATAATATATATTAATTAGCATAACATTTTTGAGACTGGGAATATTGATGTAATACAAACCCCTTTCGGCACGAAACTAAAAGGAAATAAGAAACATAAGATGTCATTTTCTTTTATTCTTTTACGCTATGCTCGTACTTTTTACTCACTTTATTTCATCTTTAGTTCCTGCCTTAGGCTTAAACTTTTCCAAGTGTTTCCGATATTCAGCTTCAGAGTTCATAAAACGTCTACAACTATCACAAAAAACCTGTTTCATATAAATCTTATTCTTTTTTTCACTTATATCATCTTTGACGGATCGAATTTCTGACTCTATAATATTGACGAATTGAATGTAAATTAATCAGGTAAATGAGTGAACGTTGTCAATCATCATTAAAGAAATTTTCATACGCTACCAACGTCCGCAATACGTGAAATCAATTGAGCTATTTCTTGTTCTGTTTCTTGAACAACCTCGCTAGTTTGTGAAAATTTTTTTTCAAGTTTTAATTTTCGTTGCTCGTAATTCTCTTCTATTGAAGTGGATTCGGATGGTGTTAACGTTCCTTTATTACGTTTTGTTTGATGGGATTTCTTAATTCGATTCTGATTGCTATGTATACATTCACGTAAAATTACGATTCAATTATAACATTATAACAACTTTAAAATATTCAATTTAATTTACTTTGCCAATGATTTCCGGATTCGATCTGCTTCCCTGAAGTAAATTATATTAATTTTTATTAATTGCAAGTAAATCTACCAAGATGCATCAATAAATTTCGTACTTAAAAGATTTCACGTTCTGCATTAAAAAGTTAAGGATAGGAACAAACTCATTTCTACAAAGTCTATAAGGAAAACACGTTTAAATATTGCTAGCACACGAAAAAAAACTTGTAGCAAATCTAAAAAAAACGCGAAAAATGCCAATCGCACTTTTGTGTATCTTCCTTTGTTAATTCCTGCTCCGTTACTTCATCGAGTAAAGAAGCACTTCGTCCATGTCTGTATCCAAGTTCGTTTGTCAACCAATGCAAAACAGACTCTGGCAATACCGACGCGTCACTTTCTACTTGTTTTTGTTTGTCTTTGGAATAAATGGATCGATACTTTGAATTGTGCAAACGACTATTATGCATTTTTGGTCTTTTTTTTGTAAATTTAAACTAAGTTTAACATAACTCCCATCTAGGTTTATAAATCATTTTATTATCAAATTGAAACGGCCTTACTGGATTACAGATTATCAGGAATGGCAATTGTTTTAATCGTGTTAAGAAAATTGCAAACGCGTAGATTTGTGAAAATTATTCAATCAGGTATAGTAGGTTTCGGTATCAGCTATCAGCCGCCACAATCATCATGCATCCCCTTTGGGACATATAGGTGCATTTATGGAATTGAAGATTAGTACGTATGCATTTAGAGAGGGATTATTTTCTAATAAAATTTTTCGATCTGTTACGCTATATAAAAAATAGACTTTATTTCGCCTTTAATTCTCCCATAATATTTGACATTTTTTAATTTTATAAAAGCAAAACATTTAATGAAAGATGCCTTTATATCATAACAATGTTAGATTTTTAATCGTTTAACCGTTTAACCGTTTGATTTGGCCGGCATTAAAATCATTCCGGCCCACGACCAACATAATTCTGTCCGGAACTACGGAGCAATTTTTAAACGGTTAAACAGTTCCAATTCCTAAAATGATTTTTACTTATCTTTTTAACAACTAAAATCTGTTAAAATATATTAAAAAACTTATTTATTATTGTTATAAAGAATATTAGTTTCTTAAAAACTTTTTAATAAAAAACAAAAAGACTAAACAAATTCAAAAAAAAACCAAGCCTAACTATTGAAAATATATAATATGAGGTTGATTCTTTTAGAATTAAAAAATATAACCATTTTGGCTAAATATCTATTATATACATATTTACGATCACGCAATTCATGCAACGCAATCACGTTACATGACACGAACTCTAGCACTATGAATTACTGGGGTACCTTCGACAGTATATTACATATTAGCAAAGAAAATAATAATGAAGGCTTATACAAAGGAGAATTTTTAGCAAAATTTTCGTAATAGATAGTCGTGTGGTAACCTTCGAAAATTTGTAACTTTTTTTTTTTTTAAATTCAGATTAGCGGGATTGAACATTTAGATAAATTAGTAAGAAAAAAAAAAAGGGTGTTTATTTTCACAATATAATGTGTTAAATTTTGTCTTCTGTGTAATAGTAGCAGATTTTTGAGGGTACATATTCAATCGTTTTGACCCGAGGTGTAAATTTTTGACCCAGTTGAGCCGTTTTGACACGGGTGAACCGGTTTACCATCATCCGGTTCTAAACTCTAGTCTGCATGTTCAAAGACTAGATCATACTTATCAGTTGGTGCGTCATCTCCCCCACGATATCTTGTCCTTTTTTCTAAGCTCGCAGATCCACCATATCCACCATCTACACCACCTCTCTCTTTTTTAACCTTTGAAGCGATCCAATCTTTGTGAAGTTTAGATACTGATTGTGAGAAATCAACTTTTATACGTCGATCATCTATTAGAACATTGTTCATTTTGAAGTAGGCTGTTTCACAATCCTCTTTATTATCGAACTCAATGAAAGCGTAACAAAGAGAATCACCAGTTTTTTTGTCACGAATAATTTCACAACTACTAATAGTTCCAAATCTTGAAAATATTAATTCTAAATCCTCATCTCTAGTAACTGGGTTAAGTTTACATACGAATAGAACATTTTCTGGGGGTTTTACTTCTGCAAATGGTATATCACCAATCATTTCCAATGTTAAAGCTTGTGCTTGTGCTTCCATTTGCCGTTGAAGTTTTTCCATTGTCTCAGGAGGAAGTTCAGGCTCAATATTTTCATCTTCACCAATTCTTATAGTAGCTAACATTTCTTTGGTTGGTGGTGGACTCTGATCCGGTACAACCAAACCTTCAGGATCAGGAAATGGGTCATCAAGTATTATAGTATGTTTGATTCTAATGTCCTTATAAGGTCTTCCAGTATCGTCACAATAAGATGAATTGATTTTTTCAAGAGTATCAAATCCTTCTGCAACTTCACCAAAAATTGTGTACTTTCCATCCAGATAATCTAGGTTTTCAGCCGTCGTAATAAAAAATTGTGATCCACTAACATTTCCATTTTCGGCAACAGCCATTGATACTGTTCCAATTTTTTTATGCTTTAGTTTAGGATGAATTTCTGCTGGAAAATACTTTCGTGCTGGACCATGTAAAATCCCGTATATTGATTCACCACCTTGGCCAGTTGCCGTTGGATCTCCGGTTTGGACCATAAAATTTTTCTGGACATTATGGAAACAGCAAAAATTGTAGTATTTGATTTTACATAGTTTTAGAAAATTTAAGCATGTTCGTGGGCACCTTTTGGTATAAAGATCGATAACAATATCACCAACTGAAGTTTCGATTAAAACACTCACTACAAAAAAATAAAGAAAATTTAGTGTAAATCATTATTAAATTTAAAGAACTCATTAAAACCAACATACTTATCAATAAATAAAATCCTGGAACTAACGATTCTTTAACGTTAGAGAACTAACTATCGCTATGTGGTTCGAAATTCAAAAAACACGATTTTATATAGGTTATGATTGGTTAACTTGAGAATTTACTGGTCGGAATTAATGTTCCGAAAAGATCCGGATCCAATCCGGATACGATCCGTGACCGAATCCGGGTCTATGATTTTTGAGATCCGTGCACATACGAATCCAAAGGCACGGGCATTTGTCATTCCGCTAGTAAATAAAAACGGTGTCAAATTATGATTATAACATGTACTAGCGGAATGATCTGGTATTGTAAAATATTTTTTTTATATGTTGCACACCGGGTGAAGGATCAGTCGTGTAACATCAACGGTCTCTCCTGTAGGATCTGGCTCGGTTTTTCGATCCGGTCTTTTCGGAACTCTAGTCGGAATACATCGGAATCATGATCGGCGGAGCCGTAATTAACTAATTTTGCCAATGATCACTAAAGGTTTTATTAATGAAGTAAAGTTGCCCGGCTAATAATTTCGGCCTAGAAAAAGTTGACTTGTATTGCTAAATGTCAAAACAAAGTTTTATGTAAGAGAAATCAACAACCAATAAATTTTCAAATCCAAGTTTTATGTAAGACTAAAATTTTGTGTATAATTTATTTTTTATTTAGCAGTCTTTAATTTTTCAAGTGAAAAAAAAATTAAAAAAAAAAAGGTCTAAGATAATTTTGCGGCCTATAAAAAAAAAAAAATTTAAAAACAGAAACATAAACTTGCAACTAGAACATTTATTAAAGACTTACTTTCTCATATAGAGATTCTACCACATTACCCATCTGTTTAAGAGTTTCTAATGCTCCTTCATAAGTTTTCTAAATAAAGAAGGACCAATATTAATATTACCGAAATAAATGGTATATAAAGAAAATTATAAAGACAATACATCTTGAGGAGGTTCATCAAATACGATTAAGCATCCTGCACCCTGATCCAAAATTCCATGAAATACTTTATCTAAAATCATTTGGGATAATTTTGTTTCAACATGACCAGTAGGTAATTTAACCATTTCTGCAACATGGGAAATTTCAACTCTTGAAAATGGTTCTATTATGCGAACCAAATTTTGTTCAAGTAAAGTGTCATAAAGCGCGGCGAGATGAGATCGGATAATCGGGTCATTTTCCAACTCTTTTGTCGGAAAATTTCTTATTAAAAAAACAAATTCGAAAAATAAAAAAATATCCAAAAATTAAAAAACCACATTATACCATCACTATAAGTTTTTAATGCAGTTTCAAACTCAATAAGCGAACGATTTTGATGTGCAGTTGCTACAGCCTTCATTGCATCAACTTCGCGCCCCGCGTAACGTAATGCAAGTTTTCCATTAATAATTGCATATACGTCTTCAGACTATTTAGCCACAAGATATATCAGTTAGAAGAATTGTAAATTGATAATGATCTAAATTATGGTAATTATTACATACCAAATTCAACATAATTTTACAAAGTAACATATATTTAAGAGCCAAGATAGCCCTATGGTCATCTTGTGATGAATATCCTTCAAGAGTTTCGTAAAAATACGAATAACTATAAAAGATAGATGAAAAGTTTACCAACTATTGTTACAACACAAATTAACATAATTAAATGAATAACGTACGCAGTCTTATAATCCTTATCTTCAGCATGTAAAATTCCAGATTGCATATCAAGTGTAGCTTGGAGAAGAGGTGGACAATAAATGGCATTAGCAGACGTTCTGGCGGACGTCAAAGCAGCCTTTAAAATACATTATATCATGTGAATTACAAAATAAATAACATAAAGAATTTAGTTAAGGATTTGCTACATGCTTTTAGAAATTTCAAATATTATATATATATATTTTTTTTACCCTAGATTTTGGTAAATTCCGTAACGCATGACAAACTCTACTTTCTAATAATTGAACTTCAACCAAAACCATTTTATCATCTAGACGTCTTAATTCTTTTAGAAGGGAATTAATAAGGGTTAAAGCATCATGATACATTTTATTGTCAAGATACCTAATTGTTAGATAAAAATTGTTAGGCATAAGAAATTAGTAGTAATTCACACAAAATTAACATAAAATACGTACAAAGCAACTAGTCGAGTTTCCAATGATTGTTTTAAAAAAATTCGTTTCTCTTGTATGCTCCAATCAATTGTTTCCTTGCAGATTTCGATTTGAAGCGGTAATGTATCGGGAATTTCAGAGAAAAGATCAATCAGTGTCTTTACTGAAATTTTGGTAGAAAATGATCGCTAATTTTGGTTATTTTTATATGGTTGATAACAAATTCACAAAAAGCTATCTAATAGTACCGATTTTTGCAGTTTTTGCTCTTGCAATAGATGCCATAAAAGAACGTGAAGAACGAATCAAGTTTGATAATTCATGAGGCTTTCTAATATAAAAGAATTATAAGATAAAACTATTCTTCTAAGGGAATTCACTATATGGTAAAGCATAGCTAACCTCTGGTCACGATAAAGTTCCCCGAGTTTGATAAGAGCTTGCTCTTGCTCTCGAATTAGGTTTTCGTCGTCGTCTAAACCAAAATATAATAAGTAGCTGTTCTATTCAAAGCTTAAACCACTGAAGAGAAATATTAAAGAAATCTAATAAACAATAGCATACCAGCATTTTTGGATAAAATGTATAATAAATTTTCTGTTTCGGTCATTATTACGAAAAAAGTTGAATAGTAGCTTTATCACGATCTCGTTTTGAAAATTACAGTAAACCCTCTCAATAATCCCACGTATCTCTGGGATTATAACGAGGTTACCTCTATATAATCACGATTAACAACATTACGTAACTGGTATGTACGTACGCACTCATTTACGTACATACTTTCGGAATCGAACTTTCATCGATTCTAAATTGGAATTCTGAATGATAGAAGAATACTTAATGTATTGGTTTAGAGTTAATTCGATCAAAGATTAATAAAACTCATTTTATTAAAGGATAACGAATTTCAAAATATCCACAGAGTACAAATGTTCGGATTTTTTTATGTATCGAATTAAGCGTGCGATATCAATCGACACAAATCTAAAAATGTTCTTCCCAACCCAAGTTGGGGTGGGTTTAAAAATATGTCTAAATTTAATGCAGCACAATTCGAAAGAACTGCTAATTTAATGGACTGTATTTTTTCGCTAAGTAGGATCTTTTTAATATTTTAAAATTATTACTACAGGTCCGAAATCCCTAACCACCCAGATGAATTTAAATTTTCATTTCAACTTATATTTGGAGCCTACTTAAGTGAATTCCCAAATTTAGCGACAGAATTCCCCGGTTGATAATAATAATAATAACCTAAGTTGATTCTAAATTTGTATGATTGACATAACAATAGTTAGAATATATGTTCAATTTGCTATGTATGATCTCGAAACACCTAATGGTTGATCAATTTAGTCAATTTACTATAACCAGGTCAACCCATTACTTGTATTCATTAGCGTTAGGTTCTGACAAGTTTTCAATATTTATAACCATCATTGTTGTAAATATAAGAAATTGCTTTGTATTAATAGTTGTAAAACTTTATATAATTTAATCTGAATACATCAACCTAGATTCATATATAATCCGCAATTTTAACACTGAAAAGATTATCAAGAGCCAATCAAAATCCGCGAATTTTCAGCAGATTGTTCTGGAAATGTTCTAGAAGTGATGTCCTTCTTTTTGGAACATAATATATTTACAGATAACGATAAAGGTGTTAATGATAATAGTTTGGTTATTATACTAATTAAACTGTATAATTCTTAAAGCTTGAAGTGCCATCTTATTTCTTATTTAATATGAATCAGGCGAAAAAAGGGAAAGAGGACAGTAACAGCCTTGATCTTAAAGCCAGCATAAAAAAGCTCGACACCTTATTGGAAACGGTACATGTCAAAGAAATAATGGCTGATTATTAAACAAATATAACTTGAATATACTTATTAGCTACTTATTAGGTCGAAGAACTTCGTGCGTCATTTATAAGTGTATGTGATTACCTAGGAGAGTTATGTAACTCAGGCCAGTTTCAAGGTCAGTAGTTCGCTAAATTAGCAAAATTTGCTTTATCTAATCTACTATTAATTCTATCTTAATTCGCTAAGATAATGCAGAAACATTGGAACGCGAAAAACGTGGAGAAAAGTTTATTACTCCGTCGTTTGATGTAGACAGATTTAGCAGAATGAATGATTCATGTTTGAATACAATGGATAAGTTTCTTCACTTAATAGCGTCAAGTGGAGGTAAACGAGTCAAACTCATCATATTTAAACTAAAATATAACACAAATATAACCTTAATTTAAAATTTTGCATTATTTTAAATAAAGAGGAATTGGAATATGCGCGGAAAATTGCTTCAGCTTGGGCTGATAATTCATCAATTCCAGTAAAAAAGTACGGTTCGTTTAGTTGGAACTAGTCAAATTTATGTATAAAATTTACAAAATTTGAGTTTAATTATTTTTAGAATATTCAATAAGGTTTTTGGCGATGAGTATTAACGGGAATTCTGGTGAAATAATAAACTATAAAGAAGACGTACAGAAAAGTAGCCAACAAGCAGCAAAGTACTAATTATTTCGTAAAGTATATGTTATTAAAAGTAATATAAATTATTAATATATTTTTATATTAGTTTATATACTAAAGAGAGTGACATATATTTTAAACGACGCAAAAAAGATGGAATTTTCGGGGCTACAGAAATATATGATGCTAGGTAATCAAGAATTCTACAAGATCTTAATATGTTTCAATTTTTTAACATTTCATATTTATATCAGTAAACTCAATAGTGCAATTGATGATTGGTTGGTTGAAGCAAAGCAAAGACCTTACCATGTCGATATCGAGAAAGTTGAATGTGACCCATCGGGAAGGCCATCGGGTTTAGTGGTATGAATACTCTTTCTTATAAGCAATATTTAAATCCTTGGCATAAAATTTGAATAATTTTGACGTAACTTGATTATCAGATATCTGTAAACAATTTATTAAAAGTTGGGATAATACTAAAATATAACGATATTAACGGATCGTCGGTGTCATTTGTTCGATTGACTGTAATTGGGTATCATGAAAAGGTATGATATAACGTAATTTATACAATAAACTATTGATATTAAAATTGATAATATTAAAGTTGATATTAAAATTGGCAATATATTTATATATATATATATATTGCAGAAATCGATCCGAGAATTTTCAGACATTCTTGTATTCCAGCGTATAACACAAATCGGACTTGAATTATTTAATAACTTGGATCAAAGTGATCCTATGCCGAAATTGCTTGTAAGTAAATGTATATATATATATTGAAAGCTTACAAATATTAATTTAAAAAGTAATTCCTTTTATTCACAAAAAAAGGATTGGATATCAAGTTTCCACGATATATTTACATCTCCATGTCATCATTGCAAAAAATTATTGTCTTTTGATTCACATGCTAACAAATATTTGCCGCCAGTTCGTAGAGTTTTTAGCGATGGAAATTTTTTGCCTTTTCATTATCATTGCTATCGACAATAGTAACCATTTTTTTAAGCTTGAAATCAAATAAGCTGTAGTATACGAAGAAAGCAAAACTTTGGATCATTCCGATTCTTTTCTTTTTGATTCATTTTTTAAAATGTTGATATATAGGATTTTCAGATGTTAAAATAATCAGCCTAAATACATGCGAGAAATTAATTATAATATTTATTTATGATGTTATTATTATTATTATATATTCTTATTGCATAATTTATGCAACTCCTCTAAATATAAGACCCTAGCGTCACCAACTTAAAAAACTTAGCTAAAAAAATTTCGCGGTCAAATAGGGTTAGGATTTGCTATTAATTTAGGTTAGAAAGAGCCTTTCTAATATCAAAATTTTGCAAAGAAAACTTTTTATTAATGCGCAGAAAGCGGGTTATGACCGGATCTTGAAGTCTGATTGGCTGGCGAAATAGTAGCGAAATTTTTTAGGGTGGTGATGCTAGGGGTTCTCTAAATACATTTCACTGGACCTATATGACTACGTACTTAAGATTAACTGATAAATTTGTGTTACATAAAAAGGCGTTCATGACTTATAAAGGATTTTGTACGTAAAGATATAAAGTTGTGATTGAGATTGTATTTCCTTGATCGGCCAATGAAATTACAACAGGTGTAAACGACTATTTAAACGTGTGAATAAATCTAAAACTACGTTGATTACTCTTTAAAAATGATAAACCAAAGCAAACATAATTCACGTATATTATTTATTATATATTTTAATGAAATTGTATGTATAGACATCGCAACTTTGATAAATCCTCAAGACAAATGGAACATGCCATTTTAATTGAGGTATTAAACAATTTCAATTCATCATTTAAACAAAGCATGCCTTTTCAACTCCAATTCCATACGTTGGAAACATGCATGCCTTTTCAACTCCAATTCCATACATTTGGAGATATAATCTATTGTAAACCCCTTTTCAACTCCAATTCTACGTTGAAAGGGAACCTTTTCAACTCCAATTCCACACATTGGATGAATAATATTCATTATGTTTTTGTTGAAAAGAAAGCCTTTTCAACTCCAATTCCAAGCATTTGAAGATCATATAATGCGATGGTTTTGCGGATGTATTTATTTTGCAGCATTGCGAAAGTGAAATATGAGTTAAACGTTGGTCAGATGTATGTTGGATTAAAGATGATTCCGAAATTATTTTACAAGACTTATTCGTCTTGTGGTTAAAGTCGAACATCCCAAAATGAAGCATTCAATAGAGTAAAACTATCTAAAAAATTGCTTTAAAAAATTACTTTAAAAAATTTGGTTTAAGAAACTTGTTTTATGCAATTTGTTTTTCTTTTTTGTTTTATTATATTATTTTTAAGTAATTTGTTTTAAGAAATTTGTTTTAAGAACCTTTTATTTAAAAATCGACTTAATATTAATGTAATAAAATAAGTGTTTTGCAAAATAAATTTTGAATTAAAAAATAAGCCAATATAACTAACAATGAACTATACAAATAAGTACAAGAAATTCATCTTGGATTTAAATTTAAATTCGGCTATTGATAATAATAAAACTCTAATTTTCGTATTTTAAAATACTACATATATCGATATAGTTATATATATATATTAAGAATACTACAGTCAGACCTCCCTAAATGTAACCTCCCTAAATTCATAGCTTTTGAAAAACATCTCTAAATGCATGGTCTTGTTTGGCCCCCAACTCATATGATACTCGTAAATTTTTACCTCCTTAAATGCAATACCTAACTAAATGCAAGATTTTTGATTTGTTCATATAGGCCCCTCGGCTATGCGTTTAGGGAGGTTTGACAGTACTAACTTTACCATGTGACTTACACGTATGTAGTTTATCGGGCAACTTTGTTCCAGGTAAAAAAAAAAAAACAAAAACAAAATTATTTTTATTACGTACAAATTTTACAATTAAAAATTTTTTAAGATACAATAATTTATACATGATTTAATATTATTCCACAAGACAAGACCAACTTCATATTTGATAGCTTTGATTTCCAATTTAAACACAATAATCAATAATGTATAATAGATCATTGGTGTTCTTAATACAAAATAAACAGATCAAAAAGTTCGATTTTATCTACATGGAATCTACCAATCAGTAACATCTCACAAGCCCATAAATCTTCCATCTAAATCTAATTATTGTATTATATACATTTTCAAGTAAAAACCGATACAACACTACATAATTACATTGTAATTTTCAAACGCATTTTTTTTCGCAATAGTTTCTTTTTTTTTTACATTGTTAATAAATATCAATTAATGATCATTTCATCCAAAGTAAAAAAAATTCCAACTATACGTCAACATTGAACTGATCACCACAAAAAAATCGACAGTACCGGAGAAATCATCACATAGAAACTAATTACACATACTAACATGCAAATATCTTCCCAAAGACTATTCCAAATCAAGTTATATCTTAATAGTACCGTAAGCACATCAGAAAGTGGTGGTGGTAAATTCGCAGCTATTGTACCTAGCGCTGAACCTCCAAATGTTCGATCCTAAATTTTAGGTAGAGTGAAATAAATTTCGATAATTTTAAATTTAGTAGTAAATCATATGTAAAAAAAAATCGATATATGAAAGTTTAATTATACCTTTTGCAAAAATAATCGAGAAGATTGAAGGATCAACTCAATAGTCACAAAATACCAAAATAATGACTAAAAAAGAAAACAAGAGAAATTTTTAAAATATATAAAAAGAATTAAAATACTAATATGGATAGTTATTGATAATCTAATTACCAAACTTGATACACGATCTGAATCAACAATTTCGTTTGGTTTTTTATAATTTAGTATAGCTAATCGACTCCAAGTACCATCATGCCGAAACACTTCTGACCCAATCGCAAGCAATCCCAACATAATCATTGCGAAAAAATGGATTAGTTGCCATAATTTAGATTGAACATCTGATTGTTGTTGACCAGGAGAAATTAGGTCAGGACTAAGAAATGACAGAAATGGTAAAGGCGGCATAGATTGTTGCTGTTGCTGGCAATAAGCATTTATCTCGTCATATATCGCTAGGTCCTCATGCGAAATCGAAGGTGGATAACTACCAGGAGGATATTCACTAGTAGTACCAATAGTCGATGCTAACGAAGTTGTACTACTATTTCCTGCACGAAGGTTTGTTAGTTCTCTCCTAAACTGTTCATCGTTTTCAAAATATCCATTATGATCATCATCACCAGTTAAGGTAGAAACAGAAGGATGTTCTTGATCTCGTTGATGAAACAATCTTTGTGGATCCGAATCGTTATTAACCCTGATAATAGGAGTGAAAGATGGTCTGTCTGGTGATGGTTGTATTGTCGAATCGGAATTTAAAGGTGGCGGTAGAGGTTCTATGGTAACAAACAAGGATTAAAATGTTACGAAACACAAATACGAGTTAAAAGAATTTATTCTTAAAATGTTTCGACATAGTGTTACCAAAAGTTTCGGTATTCCTTCTCAAAGAAAATATACTATCCGGAGATTCAGTAGTTACAGGTGAAGACCTTTGACTAAGTTGAGGAGATACATTTCTACTAGTTAAAGTTGAAGTCGATTCAGTGTTAAGAGAGGTTGTGCTCGAGTGAGTAGCTGTGATTCGTTCTAGTCTGCCATTCGCATTATTTAAAATTCTTTTTTGTCTTCGCATAAGACGACGTTCTGCATCACTCAAAGAGCGACTTTTTTTAGCATTAGTTGTTGACTCATCAGACATTGTGTTTGAATTTGAGAACTATACAAAGTTCAAATTGATCGGGAATTGAAAAAAATTTTCGTACAACATGCGTTGTCGTTTAGGCATTTGAAAAATCAATGGGCTTTACCATAAACAGCAATTATGTATTATTTTTTTCTAGTATTTAGTAGTATTTAGTAAAGTAGTATTCTACAGTAGTACAAGCTCTGAGATTCAAGTTTTTTTATGTCCCTCAATTCTTCGAAATTTTTTTTATATAGCTGCTCAGTTCTGAACGCATTAGAATAAATATAGTATGACAAACACTTTTTTCAAAAAAGAAGTTCCTCCAATATGTATAAACCAACAAGAGTTTATTGGAATTTGATATTTATATACCCTTTTTTGATATTGCAGCACCCCTGTTAATAAAATCAATATAGATTATTAATTAAGGTTTTAGAGTTAGCAGGGTGTGGTAATGTCAAGTCAATTCCCTATTTATTTTTTACGACCATGATGAATTTTAGTTTTTGATAATTTTGTTTTTATGCTAAATTAGAACTTAGTTTAATAATAGTAAATATACGTTCTATATACCTTCTATATAATCACACCCTCTTTATAAGCACTATTTTTTGAAAAATCATTGGCAATATATTAAAAAAAAAACTTTAAATGATTTTTTTTAATCTTTTAACAGTCATATCAATATTTTTTATGATTATATAATTTTAATGTTTCTAGATCTAACATTCTTTAGTTATTTTTGTAAAATTCAAAATATTTTATCAAAATGGTTTTGAATTATTTTGTATAACTTTTTAATTATATCTCTTTATAAACTATTTATTTTTTTGTTTTTTTTACTAATATCTTAATTTGATAATTCTTTTGTATTCTTTTTTATCAAATTTTTTATGGGTTTTCTCTTGATACAATTATTATATTTTATAATTATACAGTTTGTTTCAAGCAAAAAACATGTAATTATAACAATTCAATATAATATATAATACTTATATACAAATATTTTTTATAAATTTATGTAATTTTGCAAAAAAAAAGTGTTAAGACCGTTTTTTACCAAGTTTGTTTTAATTTATCATGTAATTAAGACTGAATAACTATTTAAATTTTTTTAAAAAATACATTTGTGATCTCACTTTAAATCTAACTTATTGTCATATATAAACATTATATACTTTATCACTGATATAACTACATTAACTTATATTCATTTATAATTTACTACGTATTAACAAATTTTATGATTCTAATTCCAGCAAAACCTCTTCCAATTCTTTTTCATCCAATTCTAAAAGATCATTGTTCATCGTAGTTCCTTGATCTTTTTTATGAGCCATCATTAAAGCAAGAATTACTGGTAAATGTACAAGACTTGCAAAAAACAAATCACGTGCAGATTTATCATTTGAATCTTTCCAAAATCTGTAGGCACTCAATAAAAGTACACAATTAATTAGACTTGAATCTAACGCAAACCACCAAGTTGTCATACCAATATATGGAGCTATATAGCTTAAGGGGAATAATGCTAAAGTATATCTTAATGATACTCTACTATTTAATAATGGATTGGTCACAACCATCATACGATACCCTGCTCTCGAATAATCAGATCGCATATTCCAAGCAAGAGCATTAAAATGAGGAAATTGCCAAGCATAAAGAATACCACCTAATATCCAAGCACCTAACTCCAAATTATTTGTACATGCAGCCCAGCCCATCATTGGAGGTATTGCACCAACAATTGCACCAATCCATGTGTTTGCAATTGTTTTTCGTTTCATAGGAGTATAAATGCAGGTATATAACAAGATGTTAGAAGCACCTAAAATAGCAGTTAAAGGATTAACCATAGATGACAAGATTCCTACACCAGCCATTCCAGTCAAAGTACCAAATGAAAAGGCATGAATTGGTGATATTGCATTACGAACGAGAACTCTATTTCGCGTGCGTAACATTTGTGCATCGTACGGGATTTCCAATAATTGATTGATAGCGTTTGCAGATGCAACACATAATCCAGTTCCAGCAGTAGTTGCAAAAAGGCATTTAAGGTCAGTGGCCATAGGAGCCATAGCGTATCCGCACATTGTTGTCAATATTACAAGAGCAGCTAATTTTGCTTTCGTTAAATCCCTGTATACTCTTATGAGTTCTAACATTAATGATTGTTTTTGTCGTATGGGAGTATAGTTGTTAAGAGAAATTATTTTACGTAATAATGAAAGACGCACCCTAAAACCGGCGAAAGACGAAACTCCTGGAGAAAGTTTATCAATTACTACAGCATTTTTGTCAAAAAATGATGTGTTTGAGTTTGAAGGCTTAGTATTAGTGCCTTTATCCCAGAGGCTTTGAATACTTCTCCATTGTTGACCTTTAATTAGCACTCCTTCTCTGTGACAGAATCTTATAAAATATTGTCGCCATATTATATTCGTGTTTTTCATTTGTTGAGCCATTTTCGATTAAATTTAAGATCTTAAATGTTAATTTATATGTCACGAGCAGAGTGATCATTTACGAAAATTTCATGACCAATCAAAATCGTTAATTTTAAAAAAATAATGTTTAACGTTAAGAAAAACAAGAGGGGCCGTCGTACAAGACCAGTAATCAGGTAGGATTTTTTTTAAAGTAGGTTTCGATTCGATTTTTCACGAGTCGGAAAATTTAAAGTACTTAGCTAAATTTTATACGTATTTGAATTTCCGGTTAAAAGATAAAAAGCAAGTCATTATCTGGAAATTTTGCAGAATTGTAGTTTAAAGTGATAATGTAATTAAATACATATACGTATAGAGTATAAATAAATAGGTACGTGTATATATAGTGATAGATAATCAGTTTATTTTTTTGTTTAATATAAAATATATCTATATATAGTATTAATAGAGATTGATAAGATGAAAAAAATTTAGATAAACATAAAGGTATATATAAGTTATACACATTTTGGTGTAATGTGATAATTTTTTTTTTTTTTGCTTTTGCTGAGGTCAATGTTATGATGGTTATTACTTTTATTTGTGTTTCAGTTAATGCATTACAATAACTTGTACAAGGTGAGTATGCAACTAGTCACACTGTAATATGGTTGCTTAACCTAACTAGATTCTAAATATTTGTTTAATAAATATGTCGTCGCCAGTTAAATCAAGCAA